GCGAGGAGGTCGGGGTTCTGCATTCCTCTCGTTCTGCGGTCTAGACGCTGCACTCATCAACTGTCACCTGGTCTGGACATGTCTGTGCCAAATGAACCCAAACAACCTCCTAAACAACTCACCTCTTTTTGGGTGCATTATCACAGTGTCAGTAGAAGTCCAGTTTGATATAAACACTGACCTATGACTTGGAATATTGTGTGCACATGATGGTGAAAGAAATTTCTCTAAAATGATTTTATGTAAACTTCTCACAGACTGGCTCTCCTTTAGTCCACATTATTGTTATGGTATTTTGCCAAAGCCACTAGCATCCATTCCGTTATAAAACTTGGAATAAATGGAGTCCATATGGATCTGAACATTTTGTAAACAAGACCTCAAAAACTAGACTCTCCCAACTGCTCTCAAGTGTTTTATACTTTCATGAAGATCTTAGAATATGAGGTCTGTCTGGAAAAAGTCCAGCCATGGTTAATATAACGAGAACAGTTTGCACATCAGTGTAACCTGGCAGCCAAGGAGCATGGACTGGAATGCACACGCATGAACAATGATGACTTCACTGTACTCGTCAGAGAGGGGGGGCGGACGCTGTTGAGTGAGCATGTGTACTGTGCGGCCATCACATTTGAAATGACTGAGCAAGTAGAGCAACGAGTCCGCATCACATTTTGCATTAGGCTTGAACATTCCGTCCGCAGAAGCTGTTCAGATGATTCAGAAGGCTGCAGCTCTGGGCAACTGGTGATTGGCAGCTTCATCACAACAATGCACTCACTTGTGCATCACGTCTCATGCAGCGTTTTTTGGTGAAACATCCAATCACCCAGGTGACTCAGTCCCCTGCAGCCCATATTTGGTGCCCTGTGACTCCCCACACTAAAATCACTCCTGAAAGGGAAGAGATTTCAGACTGTTGACTCAAGCAGGAAAGTAAGACAGGGCAGGTGATGGCAATTGGGAGAACTGTGTGAGGTCCCAAGGGGCCTACTTTGAAGGGGACTGAGGTGTCATTGTCCTGTGTGCAATGTTTCTTGAATCTTCTTCAATGTCTCTTATTTTTCATAGGACACGGCTGGATACTTTCTGGACCGTACATCCACCTTCTAGCTGCTGTTACTTCCAAACTATTACTAAGAAAAGAAAATGTTTCAATAAGACAGATGCATCAAAACAGAAAATCTGGCTTGTGCTAGCTGGGAAAAACAAGTACGAGGTCGGGAGGCAGAGCCACATGGGCCCGTGGGGAAACGAGATAAACAGATGGAGATAATCATATTTCAACATTATCTAGTCCTGAGGTTATCTGGACTTCCAAGGCATGAACATATGGTTGAGATTATCGAATCCATCTAAACTGTTCAGATTTTACAAAGAATTCTCAAAATTTCGGTCCAATTAGAAGAAAACGCACGGAGCACCACTTTCTCCCAGAACACCCAGATCTACACACTTGGTACGGGGGGAGGAGCAGGGGTGAGTTCACTCCAGCACCCCACGAGGTCTGGCCCAGCGCCCAGCCCACGGCCGCCATGCCGTAAGTGCTGAACGGACTTCTGTGACCACCCTCCCAGGCCCCCCCCCACCCACATGGCCAGCTCCTCCACCTCCCGGACGCAGGAAGCTGGCTCAGAGAGGCACAGGGCAGATGTCTGTTCATGTCACGTCCACTGTCCTGTCACTGGGCACATGCCACTCTTGCCTGCTTCTGCCATCTTGCCCCCACTCTGGCAAACTGGCGCCCAGCTGGCGAGTGGGGGCTGGCCGGTCGGGAGGGCAGACCCTCGGTACTGCGCCACTGAGCACTGGACGACAGGTGACAGTTGTTGGGATAAAAGGACCCAATTTCTGCCGTGTACGAGGACTTTTTGCCCAAATTTTTTAGGGAAAAATAAGGATGTGCATTATACATGGGTAGTACCAATTCTGTATCTATATAAAGGTTTTTAATTATTTTACTTATGCACTAAAAGTATAACTCTAGAAAGCAGTAACAATATTCGTATGCAAAATAATGCTCTTTCTAATATAAAAAAAACAAGTACTTAAATATAAATAAGTAATTGAATTGAAACGATTTTTTCCCCTCAAAGTTTGGGCAAAAACATGAGTGTGCATTATACATGGGAGCGCATTGCACGCAGCCAAACACAGTACTTGCTGGCTCGTTAGACCCCGGAGAGGTTGGGACTAACCCTGCGACCCCCAGGGCAGAGTCTGGCTCGATGGCCATCGGGTGGGTCTTGGTCCAGGCAGTCAGAGCCGCGCTGCCGTGTACAGGGCCTCCAGAAACGGGGTCACTGGGGACACCGAACTGTGACTTCCTCTCACCAACAATTTCTTTTTGTGAAGGGAACGTTAATGCAGTTTGGCTGTAAAGAATAGCTTTGGCCACAGAATGGGCTGGAATTTGCCTCTGAATAGAAGAGCTGGCCAGGACTCCTCTGAGGATCATTGCTCGTTGGCTCGGAGGACAGAGGTCAGTGTTGGTCCATGCTGAGGGGACGGACTGGCCCTCCTGCCTGGAGCGCTGTGCTGGGGTCCCTCGTGAGTCAGTGGGATTACCAGACCATTCTACCCCCAGAGGCTGCTGCTATTCTCGTCGATTATTACAGCCTCCAAGGCGGCAAGCTATACACAGCAGAGTAATGCTGCCGAGATTTTAGAACCTAAGGAAATCCCTTAAACACTGGTACTGCTTGTCCATAATTAAGCACTCGCATTGCACTGAATAAAAAAGCGTAAGATGTAAACCATCTCTCAGTACCATTCCCTCACTGGATGCTGAGATGAGAACAGGAAAATCGTACCACATGTCTGCCATCTGTATTTGTACTTGTCAACAGCTCTGTTTTGGGATAAACAGTTTTGAAGTCAGAATCAATTCAACTTGTTGGAAGATTAGCCAAGGAATAGCTGAGAAGACCAAAACAGAACACAAAGTCAAATAGTCTAAAGAATCCAGCACGATTTCCGTCTCTCACTAAACATTCGGTTTTGTCACAGCCCAAGAGAGAGCTCGTAGCAGCCAGGGCTTGGGGGCAGAGAGACAGGGAATCCATGTTTGCTCAAGTGAAAAAGTCTTCACCTGATAACAGATGTCTTTGCTATAGTGCAACTGGAAGTCATTCACCGACCTCTAGGAGACAACAGGTAACAAAAAAAGTCAATGTGGCATGTACACTATTTTGTTTCACAGTTCTACTATGTGGAGACAACTTGTGTTGTGTTGCAGACGGTCCTTATCACCATCCAAACGGGAGCATTTCCCAAAGTCGATCTTGAGTAAAAGTAGTTCCATGGTTGAAAACACTGCAGAACTATTTAGAGAGAGGTGACAAGGGGGAATATAAAGACATATGCCCAGAGGGTCAGGAAAGGTGGTGGCACAAATAGGATGCCACGGATGGCGGGAAATTGGAACAGAATGGCTTTGAGAAGCAGCAGGTGCCAGTGGAGGAAGGGACGCAGCAACCTGGCAGCCCCGGAGTCTAGAAAACAAATGAGAACACGTACGCTGCACTCGGGGGGACATCCATTTTCTCCCTAAAAGAAGTCATTTATAACGGAGCAAATTGGTGATTTGTACTTACAGACTGGACCCTTTTCAAGCCCCTGTCAAGAAATGATAAATTATTGAAGCCTAGCAGTGTTTTCGTTTTGGTGTACACACAAACCCTGCAAAAACGATTCTGGTCACCTTTCCCGAGTTATTAATTAAAAAATAATTGTTTCCACTTACTCTTACTCTGTGATCTTTTAAGCAAAACGAGAGTGCCACACATACCTCTCCAGAACCAGCGCCACCCCTGCCCCTGCGTCCCAATCCTGCCCCCACCCCGCATCCCCCAGCCAGGCCACTGTGCTGACGGGGAGGGTGGGAGGAGGGGGGCCAGCGCGGCGTTCACACAATTGTCTGCTGTTCACTCAGCCACAGTGCCCAGATATATTTGTTGTCCCTGGAGACGGCATCAACCGCTCGGGGAATAAAGCGGGGCTGTGGAAATCTCATTAATACGCGGTGAAAGCCCTCTCAGCGGGAGTCCCGTCACGCACAAGGCCCGCCGGGTGCCCAGCACTGGGAACGCCTCGCGCCCTGCTCCGGGGCGGTGTCACGCTCGCACACGGCCGCCCTCTGGGGGGAAGGTTCCCCGAGTGCCCCTCCCTAGGCTAGAGCGAGGAGAAAGTCTCCCCCAGTCAGGTTAGCAACTGAGGCCTGAGCACGTTCAGGAACTCCAAGCTTTGCCTTCATCTACAGGGCTCCCCCCAGCTGTGCTCCCAGAATGGGAGAGGGACGTGGGGGCCCGCGCTCCCGGAAGCAAGCGAGGAGGAAATCCAACAGGTCTCGCTGCCCTCGGGCACATGCAAGGTGACAGCGGACCAGCGTGGCTGACATGGAACATGTGCACTTAACCGGAGTATTGGGAACCTTTCCAAGTGCTCCCCCAAATCAACTCGTATGTCCACTCCTTCTGTGGGAGTGCCACTGCTAGACCCCCGATTCTACTGTCTATCCAGGGGACTGCATCAGAAGCTGGACTTCTGGCCTCAAGGGCCCTTTTGAACCTCGGACTGAAAGTGGATGCCTGTGGGGACCTTTTTCACTCAAGCACTTTGATGGGGAAACAGAAGAGGATCGAGTAAAGGAGGACATCTCCATGACATCTGAAGCAGCATCATGGGCCTCTTTCTAGTCAGCTGAGTGAGTACAGCACTCCAACCAAATGCCACTGCTGGGAACTTAAGTCAGAAGTCGTGCAGGGACCTTCCCGGTGTGGCTCAGTGGGTTGGGTGTCGTCCAGCACAGTGAAAGGTCCCCAGTCCGGTTCCTGTCAGGGTGCACGCCTGGGCTGGGGTTCGGCCCCTGGATGGGACGCAAATGGGAAGCAACCAACCGATTGATGTTTCTCGCTCACATCCATGTTTCTCTTTTTCCCATCCATCCCCTCTGTCTAAAAATAAGTAAAACCTTTAAAAAAAAAAGTCATGCAGGGAGAAACAGAAGATTTTCCTTTTTTTATTCTTTTTTATATTCTGCACACTGACATAGAGGTAACAGAAAATGACTGAAACTTAAATATGAAAGAATTCTTTACAATTAAATCCACCATTTTATACATTTACTTACTCACATGTCAGCGAAAAATCACCAACTTTTATGAAACATGACAAATTGTACTAAAAAAAGGAAAGGACCTCATAAAAAAAAAAAACACATCCGCGGGCGAGAAGAACTGCGCTCCCGACGCCGTCACATCCTCCTCTTCTGGGTGCTTATGTACAACACTGCGGAGAGAGCAGAAAGGAGCTGAACACCCGTCCTGGGGCAGCGTAGCGGCACGTTTCAAAAACCAGCGGAGCTTGGCCCGGCGCCTCGGCCAACCTAGAGGGACTGGTCCCACCGCACGGGCAACGCCAGCGCCCCTGCGAGACTGGCTCTGGGCACGCACACCTGGGTTTCAGGTGTCACGGGGCCGTGGTCTAGTCTTAGCCGCACATCAGACTGTGCCACCAGGAGGATGAAACACGGTGCCTGTGAAAGCCACTAGAATCCAAGGATGTTTTATAATTACGGGTAATAATAAAGCAAAGTAAATCAATAAATCTTACCAGGCTAGACTTCAGATTACAAATAAAGACCACATTTCGTCCATCTCCCCAACAGAAACTCTAAATTTGCTGTTTAATTTTTTTTTTAAATTGCAGCAGGATAAACAAGGGCTGAGGAATTTGTTATTAAACACATAAACACACAAAAAACCCCAAGTCCTTATTCTGAGTTCCCTGGTGAAATACTAGCTTTTGGTGTCAGGCAGAGTTTTGCTCTGCCAGTCCCCCGGTGACTCCCAGGCTGAACTCTTCAGGAGACGTGGCACAGAGTGTGGTGGCTGGGTCACTCTGGTCGCCCTGCACCGGGGGTGTGCCTCCCCACCCACCCCTCAAGGCTGCCTCAGATTCTGAGATTCGTTCAAGGTGAACATTCGGAGATATCTTGATCAAAGAACAGAGCGCAGAACAGAGCACAGACTAATCAAGCAGGCCGAGATCCTAGTCAGAACGACAGTAACGACATCCCAGGGAAACGGGACCCGTTCCAGATGTCATGTTCACGTGGCCGGATCCACCCTATCGCTACTCACGGACCCGGCACCTGACTGGCTATCAGTCGTCTTGAGAGGGAGGAAAACCGTACACCTCTGAGTAAGTGTGCGAAGAAGGAACAACATGGAAAATGGGAGGGGAACTTAACGTGCTGGGAGAACGGAAAGGCACACAAAAGCCACGCGGTGCGGTGAGAACACCAGGCGGGACACCTGCAGTGAGTCGGGGCGTTTCGTGCCCAGGAAAGGGGCTGGACTACTGAGGGGGCTGAGAAAGTTACCCCGCAACTAGAGAATGCCCGTCAATATCGAAATCCAAACTCGAGAGTCCCAGACCTCCATTCGGGGAACAGGACCAAAGTGTGGGAAGGGCCAGGGGACACGCCCCACAGTTTTGATGTCGCTCCCTTCCCCCTGAAAATTTCAAATATGACTTTAGAGATAATGTGTTTTTAAACAAGGTACTTAAAAGCAAATTTAATAATCACAGCAATATTTTAGCTGTTAAAAAGCCGAATCACTTTAGAACAGTGTTTCCGATTTGGTCATTTCTGTCAAACTAAAGGAGCGGCTCTCCACAAAGAGCATGTGGATGACTGACAGACAGAGCACAGACAGCACAGGCTGACTGCCCAACGGTGCAAACCGAGGACGGCTCGCACAGCTCCGGCTCCCAGCAGGAGAGGCAGTGAGTGTCGCGGGGACCTGACCCACTGGACTCAACAGAACGGGCTTCTGGGTCGGTACACCAGGGCCCCTCAGCTCCTCCTCGGCAAAGGGAGGGGAGGGTTCCCAGTTCCAAAACTCCACAAAGCTACTGAAAAAATGGGCGCACTGCAGATCTGAGATGCCAGAATTGAAAAGTAACAAGACTAAAACCGAACTTCTACGTTACCTAGAAAACCCGCTGGTGATTCTCATTATAAACACAAGGGCTTATTTCAGACGTGGCGCAGTTACGGAGGGAGGGAACATTACCATTGTTTCCTCGGATAAACGCGTCCCCGTACTTGTTCTTCAGCTGCCCGTTCACGTACTCTTCCGTCTGCTCCAAGGCTATGTTCATGTAGCCGTCCAGGCAAGCCAGGACCCCTGGAGACAGATGCAAAGAGAAAACATACAAAGCAAATGAGAGTTGAAAATCACAGGGCACACCTTAGAGCTGATGATCTCTTTATTTATTAGCTCTCACATGCTTAATATAAACATTTGCAGTGTAGCCAAAATGCGGTAGACAAAGTACAAAAAAAGGCCTTCATGCCCATCTGAACAGAGGCTAAGAAGCATACAGTGTGAAAGCAGGAAAATCACCATCACTTTTTTCATGGTATGTGTGGTAACGGCAACTTTAGACGCCTTCACAAAAGCAGAATAATAGAGCCCTGGCTGGCATAGCTCAGTGGATTGAGCGCGGGCTGCGAACCAAAGTGTCGCAGGTTCGATTCCCAGTCAGTGTACATGCCTGGGTTGCAGGCCACGGCCCCCCAGCAACCGCACATTGATGTTTCTCTCTCAATCTCTCTCTCTTTCTCTATCTCCCTCCCTTCCCTTCCCTCTCTAAAAATAAATAAATAAAATCTTAAAAAAAGGGCAGAATAATAGAACCCTACTCTGAAAACTATAAAAGGGAGTGGGCAGTTACTCGGGGGCAAATGACCAGTAGCCAAGACCCCTTCACAGCCTTCCTTAGTTCAGCCGCGGAGTGAAACTCGCGTCTGGCAGATTTATTTCGTCCGTTCGCAGCATCCACTGCAGCAAACGAACGTCCTCCCGGGTGCAGAGGGAGCCTCCACAATCTGTTAGAACAACAGAAGCGGAGACAGCAGGTGCTCCTGAAAGGGCGCCTTCAAGCTGCGTCTCGCGGTGGAGAGCAGCTTGAGAATGCACGGCGGCACGCTGCCCTGTAACACCGCCCTTTCTGTTTTGTTTCACTTGTAATATTTTGAAATCCAGGCTAATACAGAAAAACGGCTCAATCACTCTAGGGAGCTTTCAAGGAAACTGGGTGAATCTTTTCAGTTGTGCCAAGATGGCTTAATTTTTGCAAAATTTGACCAGGTGATTTTTTTCAAAAGATGAAAAAAATACATAAAAGCCTCTCACTTCTCTAACTTAATAAAATGACCTTTTTCTAGGGAAAAAATTTTATGTCAAAGCAAATACTACAAATTTGATTCAATTAACCAAGTCGATAGCTTCATTAAGCCTCAACTTCATTAACATGCTCCTCACTCTCTGCCTCTGGCCCCATTATCCTCCAAACAAAACTTTCTTTTCAAAACTGTGTGTAATGAGAGCACAAGACATTAACCCAACAGAATCCTGCCAAGCCTGTAAACTTTCAAAGAATCAGAAGGGACTGGGAGCATTAACAATTACTTCCTGTTAAAAGAATACTTAAGACTCAACTTTACAGATTATTTCCTGATGTATTCATTTTACGATTAAACAACCATAAAAGAAACTTCTGAGACATAATATGCAAATCTTTTTGAAAATGCATCAGAAACATTTCAAAGTAAAAATGTCCACTTCTAGTAAAAACATCTATTCTCATAGCAAAAATCTGTTTAAGAAAAAGGTTCCGGGAGGTAAGAATTGTAATCCCTTCCTTTCTCTAACAGATAAAACTGCAATGACTCACAGAAACACAAAGTTTTTGTCAAACCTAAAGAAAAACTGTTTCAGAGAGCTGAGTTTTTGTTTGGGTTTTATTTGACCACAAAATGAGAGCATTCTTTGTAGCAGTACTCTCAACAGTGTAGACATTTTGCTTTAACAGTACAGAAGCCATGAACGGGCACATTCGTGAAAGGAAGAAGTTTATGACTGCTACCCATGGGACAGGCTGGTTTGCCTCACTAGTAAACAGAGAAATGGAAATGAAACATTACTTGTCGCCAGTGAGGATGGAAAAGCGGAGAACAGGGCAGACGCAAGGGGCGGCGCGAACCTGGAGCAGAACGCACGCCGTCAGAGGGCCGCCGCCCCACCAGCTGCAACTCAGAAACCGCGGCCCCGGGAGCTGTTCTAAAAGAGACGCTTGGACGAGTGCTCAGGACACGCAGCACAGGGGCAGAGCTGTCTGCAACAGCACCCATCGCTAAACACCAGACTGTCCGCTCACGGGCGCTGGTTTAAAACCAACGCAGAACTGCGGCACCGCCGCACGAGGCACGCCCGCGCAGCCGCTGCACACTGCACGGTCGGTCCAAGGGCGGAAGGCACGTTTTCCTGTAAAAACACCAGCGCACACGTGTGGCTGACCCCACGCACGTGAAACCATGCTGAAATGAAGAGGCTCCTTGAATCCATAAGGCTCCTTGTTTCTGGACCGTGGAATTTTGGGAGATTTTGCTTTCTTCTGCAGTCTACTTTTCTCCATTATTTGCTTTGATATTTCTTTAAAGAAGAAAAATCCCACAACATATATTGCCTTTAGAAACAGAGAAAATTTTTCACTGAAGAGTGGAGACCAGCAGCTCAGGCTGTTTGCTGGTCCCCTCAATGAGGTGGGCGCTGAGAAGACACGGAACACAGCGTCTCCACCCTCCTCGCCCGCTGAGCGTGCTCAGACGGCCAGAGGCGGGCTACGTGCCCTTCAGGCTCCCCGAAGGTTCCCGGTGAGAAGCAGTTCAGAGGGACTTCACAGTATCTCACTAATCAGTATAAATCCATTAGTTTCACTATAACGTCCAATTAAACTGGAGATATGTTATTAGTATTAGGAAACCAAAACACTACGTGAACAGCAGAGTGGTGTCTCAGCAAGGCGTCTGAGCCAACCTTGAGCTGGAGTCCCGGTTCCTGCCTGACTCGGTGGACATAACCAACAGAGACCTCAAAGGACTTCTGGGAACAGAAATGAAAACCAAAGTGATCAGCACACACGACCCACAGTAAGCTCTCAGTAAAACTGAGTCCGCATGTGTGAAAAGAGAAAAAAAGCTCAAGAGATTACTATCATTATTCGGAAAAGAGACCAAGAATTATTCAAACAGGAGACCAAGAAAAAGGCCATACACCTCTGCTGATGAATTAGTTTGCTGTACCTGAAAAACACTCCAGGGAATTTAACCTGTCTAAATGTTGGAAGATTGGGAATTTAGTGACTTTTAAAAATGGAATTTGGAACCGTTTCTCCCACAAAGTTGATTTCAGGAGTGTCGCCGCCTTAAAAAGAGCACCCCGTAAAAGCACAGAGAGGCGGCTCTGGGTAACCCGCACGTTCCATGAGCGGGAAGCTCGCGCTGGGAAAACGACACTGCCCCAGCTGCTGCCGCCAGCCCCTCCCGTGGGAGCTCCTCAGCACCCAGCTGGCCCCTCCTGCCTGAGGGGACTGGGCACCCCTGGCTGGGCCCAGGGCCCCAGGGGAGGCAGGCACGCCCGAACTCAAAGCAGAGGCAGGAGATGGCAATCACACGAACACCCAGAGGTCCACGCTGGCGTCGGAGTGGTGTCTCCAAAAACAACCATCTCGGAGGCAGAGCAAGAAGCGGGCACAGAAATTGTTGACAACCAATGCTTTCCTTGGCCCACTTGGGTACATTTAAGAGATTAATAAAAATCAGTAAGTCATATTTACTTACTTAATTACACCAGTGAGAATGAAGCAGAAAAATATTACCTCGATAATCCACTCCAGAATTCAATTTCACCACAACAGGCCGGCCGATGATTTGCTTTAAGAAGTCACTGGGGGTTTGCTTCCGCAGACTCATTGTAGCAATCCTGATCAGAAACCTGGAAAGGAGCAGTGAAAGGAAGGACGAAAGTTAGTTCCTCAACTAAAAAGCCCGAAGCTCTCACAGAAGACCCAGTGTCCAAGCAGCACAGGGGAAGACCCAACATGACCCACGGCCACAGAACAGCTCACGCGTCTGCAGGACCTGCTGGGGCCGGACAGGAAGCCAGGCGCTTCCCACAGACCCTCAGGCCAGCCTGGCCCAGCCTCACCGCAGGAGAGCCCTGCGTTCCCGGAGCTGTCCGTCACCACGTGTTGCTGCTGCTGTCTCACACGCACGCCAGTGCACCCACTGCCAACACTTCCACCCTCCCATTTACGAAATGCTTACTTTGTTTACGCTGAGCACTCTGCTAAGCTCCTGATAGATACTACCAAATTTAATCTTTACAAGAACCCTGGGAAAAAAGGCTTCATATCCACATTTTGCTAGTGAAAATAAAGGCACACAGAAAGATGAACTAATTTGCCCCCAAAAGCAATGGAAGTGGCATTCAAGCTCAAATTAGCCCTATTTTGAAGTCTATTATATAATGTAGACATACTTACAAACTACTGATGCCAAAATAGTACCTCTGGAAGTAATTACAATCATAACTGAGAGTAACTATTTGAATGTCCCCCAGGCCAGCACTTATCTAAGCACTTAACGTGAGTTACTGCACTTAAACCACACCACCTGGTGAAGCAGGTATTGTGTTTACCCTCGTTTTACAGATGAAGTAGACACAGAAAGGGTTACACATCACGTCCAAGGTCACACAGCCAGTAAGTCATGGGCAAAATCACAGCCTCATACAGCCTCTGGAAGTTGCTAATGCAGCCAAAGGTTTTTATTCTATTATAATTATAGCAGACATATACTCTACATAGTAAAGAAAAAGAGTTCTAAAATGCAAGCATAATAGGAGTCTGAAACAAAGAAAGAGCATTATGCACCCAACCAATCACATCAGAACAACAGAATTGCCCATCACTCCTTTTAAAACTCATCTTGTTATGTCAGAGTTATCTCTCAAAATATTCTGGTAAGCAAATGTAACATAATTGAGGTTTTAAGCAAAAACTGAGAGTATAAGACTTTGGAAATAGCAAGAAAAGTCAGCATCCTAAGTTAAAGAACAGAAAATGTAAGTTTCAAAAACTACTCTTGAATCTGAGGCTGTTACTGGGACCACCTTCACCCACTCCATCTCCCTGAGACTTGAAAAAATTTTAATGGGGTCAACCAATTATTTTGCTCAACAGATTTTAATCCAACTTTCCCACTGAGTTGCCACGTAATTTTTTTTGCTACACAGTCTCAGGACATAAGTGAAATTATCACCATCATTCTGAACCACCACTACTCACTCATTCAGTACCCAGACCACACAACAATGTTATTGACTCTCTGCTGAGCACAAGGAAAAACAAATAAATACAAAGTAAATACCAAAATGGATCCAGTACCTTTAATGAGTTTAATAAAAAACATATCTTCCCATTCGCCTGTAAACTGCCTTATTTACGTGCGGAACGAGCACGTGCTGTGTTGTGGCTGAGTGGACCTAGAGAGACCATCAACCCCGAAGGCCTGAGAGTAACTCAACTCCTGAGTCTTAGGTTCACTTCCTATCAGTTGCTAAATTCCATACACAAGACTGATATGGTACACAATTTCTTCATATACAAGACTTCATACACAAGACTGAGATCAAACTAGCTGTTTGTGCTCAAAAACCACTAAGATGCACCATGATGTGAAAATCTAGTTCACAGGGATATTATTATCTTCTCCAGTTGACAATGAAAAAAAAAAAAAGAATACAAACCTAGACTATTAGTTGTGTAACTGATGGTGTTAGTTATTTTCAAATTCTTACTAATATCTTCCCTCACCTTTCTAAAAGACAGGTACCAGTCTTCTAAGCTCATCACAGATCACACCTCTGCCATTAAACCTCGTCCTTGCTCCCACTGGCAGCGGGTTCTTTCTGAAGCCATTCAACACCTTCAACTTTTTCTTCCACACCTAAGTGTCAGGCACAGGCTGGGCGGGGATGTTAACACCAACAAGACATGGCCTTGGGCCCTCCGAGATCACCTCCAAAACAGGCAGCACAACAAAACAAACGAACATGGAAAGGGAGAATTGTTAAGCTGTACGCACTTGGGCAGAACTATGCAGAGAACCGCACACAGAGAAGACACAGTCAGCCCAGGCCTGGCAGACCAAGGAGGACTTCAGGAAGGGACACCTGAGCTGAGTGTGAAGGGCAGGGCCCACCAGCCGAAAGGAGCGCGAGCCGGGCAAAGGCACTGGACAGTGTGAGCAGGTCTACACAGACAAGGACAGGCCACAGCCACAGAAGGCAGTGGGGCCGTGTTCCCCTGGGAAGCACGGCAGGTCAGGTCAGGCTACAGGGGCCTGGGCTTGGGCCTCTTGGGCCATTTCCCAAAAGGGAGCCGTTTGGGCCACTTGGAGATTCTGGGTAGGACCCGGGCACCTGTTTGCACGAGCCTGGGAGACTCCTATGCACCGGCCAGCAGGGGGAACAGTGTCAGTGGTAGGGGACAGGGGACACCGGAGGGTCTGAAGTAGAGGCGTGCATGAGCACCGCTGTCCACCGGAGACAGCGTGGGCCCATGCCACCTCACTGTGCTCTGGCACCACTGAGCCTCCCATCTGGCTGTATCCGATGTCACCTGTCGCTGATCACTATCTCATACTGCTTCATTTTTTTATACAAGTCTTTTCTCCCTCAAAACAGTGGGAGCCACATGAAAGGAGAGACTAACAGCACGCTTCTCTTTTATTCTCCAGAGCATCTATATTCTGCTAAATCTCTTGGGAAAAAAATCTTGAGTTATTTGGAAAGAGGATGTTGCTTCAAACACATTTTATCCATCACTTTAGGAGGCCGCAGCTACTGCATTCGTCTTCATTAGGCTTCCCAGGCACTCCCTGTTACTTAATGACTTGCCCATAAATCCATTTCATGGGGCTAAATTGGTCCCGACATCACAATTTTTCCCATCACTTGGCTCACGTAATTTTAAGTTTTCATCTTTTAAATTGGATAAGGCAGAAGGAACCGTTCTGACCATTCCCAAAAGGAGAGAAACGCCTCTTGAACCAGACACGTAAGAGGACAAAGGCCACCTTTCTGCAGGGTCACCTTGATAAAACCCCTCCCTTTAAAACTAAAGCCCCGGTCACCCTCTGTGCCTCTGCTCCCTCCACCAGGGAGGGACCCGACACCAGGTCGGCCTTGTTCTAAACTATCCATCTTCACACGTACCTATTAAGGCAATGCAGTGTCAAAGGCAGTGCATTTTCCGTGGGAGCTTCTGAGAGGTCTGGGATGAGAACATCTGCCAAGTGCCCTGAAGCTTTTCTTCAGGGAAAAGTATGGGGGCGGGGGGCAGAGAATCAAATTTTCGGCATCCCACTACCCCACCACGTGCCAGGCGTCCGTTAGTCAGCAGCCACTGACACGTCACCTGGCGAGGCGGTAAGCAGAGCTCAGGCTGCACCTGGAGCCCTCCTGCTAAACCTGGGGATGGCCAGAGACGGTGGGAGACCTCGTGGGAGAGAAGCAGCTTTGGGCAAAAAGCCTCTATCACTGGACATCAGCCTGCAAAGAACTATAATGGCCAAACAGGAAGAAACACTAGCTAATGTGATTTTGAGTTATATCGCTAAGCACGAAATGCGCCGATTCTAGTCTCTTGGCCGTGCTGACCTGTAAACTTCCACCTACTCATACAGACTTTACAATTTAGGGTGAAAAAAATTGAAAAGCAAAAAACTGTTAGGAAACGTAACATTACAACCCAAGCGAATGCAGTTAGCAGAACACATCAGTGTCCAAGCAGGCATCGGACACTAAGGACAGCTCTCGACATATCTAAACGCCATTCGGCTGGCCAGGCTCCCTCAGGGGGTGCTAGGCTTCTCGGTGCTAGATAGCCCAGTGTCTTACTCATTTGGCATCTCTGGTACCTAAGCATGCCGCCCAGGCCTGTGGAAGAGGCACCCAAGGGCGGTGCCAAGACAAATCTCTGTCCCTCCCCGGGCCCAACTATGTGTATAATGACTAATACAGTATCACCCAGGCACTTAAGCAGCTGTAACACAGTAACGTCCCTATTACTGACCACCAATTAACAGATGCATAAAAGAGAAACGTTTCTGTGTTGTACAAGAATCAGCTGCATCCAAATCAACAGAGATGTTTGCTAAAATGCAGATTCCTAAAGCCTTCCCCTAATCAGGCTGTCTAGGCAAAGGGCACTGGAATTCCTATGAAGTGTCCCAAGTAACCCCTATAAGCAAGTAGTTCTTGACCAGGAGACATTTTGCTCCCCACCCCCAGGGACGTGTGGAAATGTCTGACCTTTTGAATTGTCCTGAGTGAGGACGTGGTGCTACTGTTATCTAGTAGGTAGAGCTTATCCTCCCACAAAGGATAAGGCAGGCCTCCTAAACAAAACATGATCTGGCCCGAAATGTCAATTGCAGGTGAGAAACTGCAGTGAGGCCTAAATCAAAAAAATGCATTGTCCTCTGGTCTTAAAGCAACAATGAGCTTAAAAAACAAAACAAAACTTCAAGGTATAATACATAAGAACAGCCAAATTCTAACTAGACAAAGTATAAAATATAACTTACTATTTTACCCCAACATTTAGAGAATCTGAAAACAACTGCCAAAAAATCTTGAAGGGGTTGCCATGCTAAACAATGGATTTTTAGCCCAGACCATGAAAAAGGCCACCTTCCCATTTTCCAGTGTCACAGATCCCTCAGATGATCCCATCTCAGTGACTTGGTGCGACTGTAGAAGGACAGATTAGCCCAAGTGATGGAGACATCTTTTTCAGTTCTCACACCGAGTGTGACAGTTCAGTGAGACCACCCAATGCCGCATCAAGAGTACTCACTTGGGAGGCAGGACACCTGAGTTCTAATCCCAGCTCCACTACTTAATTAGCTGTGTGCCTTGGGTAACTCACTTCTCCTCTCAAGGCCCCAGGTTCCTCATCTGCAAAATAAGGTAGTTATGCTAGAAGATCACTTAAGCAATCCAAGTCGGTCGGCCTATGCAGTAACTCCAGTAATACACACACTAACATAATCTGGGAAGATTCCTTCACAAAATTCAGACAAGTGGAATTGCCTGACACCACTATAAAAAAAAAAACAAAAAACCATAACATTCCAAAGGGAGGCTCAGCTTCATTGGTTGGTAATATGAGAAATGTATTATGAGCTGTCATACTTCTGGTGAAAGAGGCACAGTCCTACATAAATGACAAGATTATTTTGTGAAACAATTTGGCAATGTGTATTCAGAGCTAAAAAGACCTTACTGGAACACAGCACCTGTTCTAATCATTTCACTCCTCAGACCCTAGTTCAAGTAAATAATCTAAAACACAGCTTAAAAAAAAGTTCATGAGAGTATAATGCGGGATGCTACAATGAAGCAAGAATTCACAAATACCCTAAAGGCCCCACCACAGTCGGGATGGCTGAGCAATTTATGGGATCTAAACAAGGATGGACTAGGTAGCCAATCAAAAGAAAAAACAAAATTAGACAATATTTAGGAAGAGTTTTTAATTCTGGAATGCTAAATATACTGTGAAGTGATAAAAAAGATAATGTTAGCTCAAGGAGAAATTAGCACAGGCAAGAGTAGATATGGAAAGAAATTGTTAAGTGGTCGGGTTCTGTGAATTTTTTTTTCCCTAAGCTTTTCAGTATTTTCCGTTTTTCTACAATAGCCTTATATTATTACTAATCTGGGCACATTAAATAACGACCATCCGTATCTGCATCACCCTCATCTCCGTCACCCTGAACAACAGCAACAAAGAAACTAAAACAAAACGCCCAAAACCTGCTAGGAACGCGCGCGCACCGCTACATACACACTCGAAAGCCCTGCTGACCGACCCTAACGCCGTACAATTGTGGGTGGGAATCCCCAACCTGCTAAGGTGGGCTGGTCCAGCTCTTACTCCCTGATGGTCAGGGCTAGCACCCGATGGCTGCAGGCTGGCAGGCAATGCCCTGCAACCCTGTCACCCCGGCGAAGCCTGGCCGTGTTCCGAGTCCGCTTTCCCGCCGAATCCCCAGGCTAATATCGGGGTTCCCTGCGGGACTTCGACAACCAGGAGCGCACTCGGAAGCCAAGTCCTTGGGGCCCCGAGGCTGCCATTCTAAACCGCGCGGTCCAAGCGCCCCTCCGGGAGAGGGTCTCGGGGACGGGCTCAGCGATCGCGGCGGCGACCACCGTGGATGCCATTCCAGACGCCACGCGGGGCCGCCGCCGGGACCGGCCACGCGCAGGCTCCGCTGCTGCTCCCCACCCTTCTGGGGGCGACGGAACCCTGGGGCTACCAATGGCCCGCGAGTTCCCGGGCTCACCTCGAGACTCCCCACTCTAAGCGGCCCACATGCCCGGCCTCCGCCGACAAATGGATGAAACTGAAACTGAAACCGAAACCGCCGAGGCAGCGACTCTTTTCAGTCTCAGCCAATCACTGCTTCCGGGGCTACCGCGGCCCGCGAGACCAAAAGACCCCAGCGCGCCGGAGCGCGCAAACCCCGGACTTCAGGTTTGCCTGGAGGCACAGTCAGCGGTGCTGTGGGCTAACTGGAAAGTGCTGTGCTCTCTCCTGGGACAAAACGCAACCCTCCGCCCCTCAAAAACACCCAGGAAAAGAAAAGCCGGAAGTGATCTTTTAGCCAGGATTTCTTTTAGGCAGATAAGTAAGAAATAGCTTGAAGTCATAGGAAACTGGGATACTGCACAAGTCATGACTGTCCGGAAATATCGTTGAATAATTTAATGCAAATAAATCTTTAAGTCCACCTTTGGATTTTGATTAAGTGTGTGAAGATGAAGTCATTCTTAGCAAGATGTCGTTTCCGTGGCAGCGTTAACTGGCACAAAAGGAATTACAATCACTAAAGTAACTCTGTATTATAATGGAATAAATTGCATTACATTACAAACTAGCTCTAATTGGAAATGCTGTGCAGACATTAAGTGCTGCTATGGGAACTTGGTTTGGAGTTTTGCGTGAATTCTCAATATTCTTGCTATTAATGGAAAGGGAGAGGTAAGTAAGAGAATGGTCACACAGATTTGATTCCTTTTTCTTCCTACACACACGGCCTCTTCATTTTAAAACATATACTTTCATTCCACATAATTTGTAACACTATAAACAATGATAATCTCGGTAAACAGACTCTCAACCCTAAATTTTGTAAAATCTAAGGTGCAGAAAAATTTTTGTAAGACAAAAATGAGTTTCCCCTCTTGTAAGCCTCTCAGCTAAAGAGATTAACCTTTCATTGACAAGAGGGATGGGGAGACTTGATGGGAAGGAAAGACTTCATTGTATCCCTCTATAAAAGCTCACTTTGGGTAAAGACCAAACATGGATTTATTGAAAGGCTGTATTTGAAGTTCTTGCTGTATAAAATATAATGCAAACAAAAATTTAAAGTATTGTTTAATAAAATAATTATCAGTAAAGAACATATAGAATAGAATATAAAAGCCCTGTTTCTAAAAACCTTCTCACAAGAGACATCAAGTTGTATCATGTTCCCCATTGCTTGTTTCAATTTTTTTTTTTAAAGAAGGTTTGATTCATGGCCTCTTTCCCTTTGCCACAGAGCCTGATGGGTGGAGTCATTAAGACTGGTGTGGCAGGCTGGGGTGATATGGAATTTCAGGGGCCTGGTTCATCTGCAGAGGCAGCTGCAACCCTTTCCAAGGGGCATGGACCTGTAAAAGCCCAACTAGACAAAGTACTTCACGAGCCAACATGTTTATTCACGTGTTTTTATCCAGAACCCGCAGCAGCTTATAATTGGCTTTTACCAACTCGCAAAGGAACTTTCCATATCTCACAGGGTTTTTCAGCATCTTTAATTTTGCAAAGAATGGGCAAGATTTTTCTGAATACTAATTCACCAAGAACTCACCTTCAAACCCATGAACATAAACATTAATTTATTAAGGTCATAAAAATAATTATCATGTCATAAAAATAATCTGACAAGATTTAGTTTTGCTTAGACAGTTTAGTTTAACTTTTAAAATGGATGAACCTACACTTGACACACCATTGTCACCCAAACACCATGGTTTACATCAGGGTTCACTCTTGGGGTTGTACATTCTATGGGCTTTGACAAACATATAGTGACATGTACCTATTATTATAATATCATACAGAGTATTTTCACTGCCCTAAAAATCCTCTGTGTTCTGCCTATTCATCCCTTTCTTCCCACTAATTCCGCGGGACCACTGATCTTTGTTACTCTATCCATGGTTTTGCCTTTTCCAGCATATCATAAAGTTGGAATCCTACAGTATGGAGTCTTTTCAGTTCAGCTTCTTTCACTTAGTAATATGCACTGAAGTTTCCTCCAGGACTTTGTGTAGCTTCATAACTCATTTCATTTTTTTTTCTTTTTAAGACTTTTTAAAGATTTTATTTTTAAAGAGAGGGGAAAGGAGGAAGAGAGGGAGAGAAACATTGATGTGTGAGAGAAACATCAATTAGTTGCCTCCTGCATGCCCCCAATTGCAGTCCAAGCAAGCATGTGCACTGACTGGGAATTGAACTGGCGACCTTTGGGTCTACAGGCCAGCACTCAGTCCACTAAACCACACCAGCCAGGACTAACTCATTGCTGGATCATAGTTCATTGTCTGCATGCACCACAGTTTATTTATTAGTTCACTTACTGAAGGACATCCTGGTGACATCCAAGTTTTGGCAGTTATGAATAGCCTGCTATAAACATCTGTGTGCAAGTTTTGGTGTGGACATAAGTTTTCAACTCTTTGGGTACCTACCAGGGAGTGCAATCGCTGAATTATATGATGAGAGAATGTTTAGTTTTGTAAGAAACCACCAAACTATCTTCCACAGGAGCTGTGCCATTTTGCACGCCCACCAGCCGTGAATGAGAGTGATTCCAGCGTTTGGGAATTCTCACAGGCGGGAGTGGGCTACCACTGCGGTTTTAATTTGCATCTCCCGAGTGACATATGCTGCGGAGAACTTTTCCTATGCTTGTTTGCTATCTGTACATCTCCGCTGATGAGGTGTCTTTTCTGAGTTTTGCCCATTTTTTAAGACGGCTTGTTTTTTATTGTTGAGTTTTAAGGGTTCATCGTATATTTTGGGTAACAGTCTTTTATCAGATGTGCCTGTAGCAAATATTTTCTTCCAATCTGTGGCATGTCTTCTCATTCTCTTGAACCAATTGTTCTTAAAATAGGCAAATACTAGCATAAAGAATACTAAGGGGAACTCTTGCCATTCATTATTTGTTCCAAACTTCTACAGTCCTACTCCTTTTAAAAGCTATGTCCTTTCGTATTTCATGTTCATAAGAAAAAGCATCATGTCTAGCTTATTTTTAAAAACACCCAACAGCCTTGTGGACAGGTGAGCAATGGTACTGTGTTGATGCCGATGATGATGGTTACAAACATGGAATTGGATTGGCCAACAGTCTCCACAGCAGATTTTTATACCTAACTCAGTGCTATAGTTCGAAGAACGCTGGTTGGTCTTGGTCCAGCAGTGCATTACGGCTAAGAAGTGCTGGCATGTGCTTAGATTTTCCCTGTACCTTCAGACTGGACAATACAAACATCCAACCTGTCACATCCTGGTTTTGGACCACTATTATCTGCCTTTTATCATGGGATGAGAAAGATACCCTACAGTTGTTGAATATCTCTTCTCTGTGCCTCTTTTTTACAGCGCAGCCCTTCAATCATCCCACTTCCATGCGGGGGCTCAATCCCAACTCTCTACCCCCAAAGGGGCTAATACCTTGTCTTGTGCGCTCATGGGCATTAACACGGTCGCTTCCACTCTTTCTCCTGATCCAGGTCAAACCTTGGCATCTCCTGGGTTACTGCGAGAGCCTTAACACTGGTCTCATCAGTTGGAGCTCAAACTCCTTCTCTTCAACCAGGCCGCCTCCTAGTTATATGTTAGGTCTTAGCTCAAGCATAGATTCTTAGAGAAAACCTTTGGTAATCCCTCAGACTAGATACTCCTTTTCTTGTCCGTGAGCACAGAGCACTCTACTTCTCCTTTGCACCACTTGTGAACATCACAATTAAATAACTCTGCGTGTGTGTATTTGTCTCCTCCCTCCTGTGTGCACTGCGCGCACAGGGCTGACGTCTGTATTATTTAACATGTGTGCTGTAGTATCTCCTGAGAAGCACTCTAAGCTTATTGACCAATGGAAAAATTGCTCAGGGAAGTCAGTGTGCCTTTTATTTTTACCTCAAGATGGGACATATTCTATGTCATGGGTACTTGGTTTCAGATATAATGTTTGAGATGTCTAAATAGACACTCGGACTTCACTGGCCATCATTCTGGTGCAACTTGAACTTCACAAGCGATGGGCTCTGCCTCGGAGCTCCTCCGGACCGTCTTTGGAAAGCTGGGCTGCTTTATGTTCCACCGTGAACTCTAGAGAACCCCTCTCAGCTGTAAAATTCAGCGAAACCGGTGTGACGTTGCCCTTGTATTTTAATCAAGATGAACTTGAAAGGTGAACATTATAAGTGGGAGAAATTATTTATAATTTGGTAATAAAAGTTTATGCCTAACACTCCAAATTTCATACATCTGCTCTGTGCCGGCCCTGAGACATAAAACAATTGAAGTTGCCTTTACACTTGGCCTTATACAAAAGGTCATAAATTAGAATGATAGCACTCGTCCTCTTCCCTAGCTCACAGAATTTCTGTATTAACTTCTTCACCTCGAACATAAATGGTTATCCAGCTGCAAAGAAAAGAGTTGTGCTGGCCTTTATGAATTACAGTTTACGCAGAAAGTCTGTGGAACATGCGCGGGATGCACCCACTTCAGTGAAGCCATTTCTACCGCCGCGAAACTCATTAACACTGTATGGCCAAGTTCAAATACGGACAGTACAGTATATAAAAATTTAGGAATATGTTAGATATCAGCAAATGAGATGTGGTCCTTTTAACTCCTAACAGTGCATTTCCACATCTTTCAAGGGTTTTCTCTGCTAAAATGCGCGCCACCATATTTGTTTAAAATAAATTCAATTTTTTAAATGTTTCTAATGTGGTTTTAACTGATCATGTGAACATTTTCATTTTTAAACTACAAAAAACCCTCACAATCCACTTCTATTATGACATAGCATAACTAAATTCATCCCAAAATATTAATGAATTGGACCAGTTTTTAAAAAATGTTACAGCAAAAATTAAAAAAAAAAAGACAAACAAACAAAAAACCCCAGATGTCCTTGATTTTCTAGGACATATCAAATCCATATGCTTTTTTGGTGTTAAGATTTCTTTCTGCAAGCACTGTGGAGTGATTAAAGTGCAGCATATTTTAAATGAGCAGGGCCAAGTTCAAGAACAACTTCAGCA